AATTCTTGTGTCGAAATGTAACACTAATGGAGATAGTTACATGATACTGTTTTGATGACCTTTTATTTTGTTTTTCAGGTTTTTTTTTTTTTTTTCTTTTTGAGACTGAGTCTGCTCTGTTGCCAGGTTGGAGTGCAGTGGCATGATCTCGGCTCATTGCAACCTCCGTCTCCCAGGTTCAAGCGATTTTCCTGCCTTGGCCTCCCAAGTAGCTGGGACTATAGGCGTCTACCAATATGCCTGGCTACTTTTTGTATTTTTAGTAGAGACGGGGTTTCACCGTGTTGGCCAGGATGGTCTCGATCTCTTGACCTTGTGATCTGCCCGCCTCAGCCTCCCAAAGGGCTGGGATTATAGACATGAGCCACTGTACACGGCCCTATTTTTTTTTTTTTTTTTTTGAGACAAGGTCTTGCTTTTACACCCAGGCATGAGTGCAGTGCACATGATCACAACTCACTGTAGCCCCAACTATCTGGTCTCAAGTGATCCTCATGACTCAGCCTCTTGAGTAGCTGGGATTACAGGCATGCACAACCACACCTGGCTAAATTTTTATTTTTTATTTATTTTTCTTTTTTTTTCAATTAATTCAGGAAAGAGATGTTAACAAATAATTTTTATGTTCTGCTTTCCATGTTGAAGAAAGTAAAAAAATATATATAATAATTTTTATTTTTTGTAGAGATAGGATATTGCTATGTTGCGCAGGCTGGTTTTGAACTCCTAGCCTCAAACAATCCTCCTGCTTTGGCCTCCCAAAGTGCTGGGATTACAAGCATGAGCCACTGTGCCTGGCCACTTTCTTAATTTATTCATCAACTGAATTGCTACATAGGGCCTTGACTGTTGATGTGTGGCTCTTAACCCTGACCTTGAACTATTACTTTGTCTTTTCTGTGCTCAGATACCCAGTATCTCCAAGATACCATGAACCACGTCCTAAGCTGTGTCAAGAAGGAGAAGGAACGTACAGCAGCCTTCCAAGCCCTGGGGCTACTTTCCGTGGCTGTGAGGTCCGAGTTTAAGGTCTATTTGCCTCGTGTGCTGGACATAATCCGAGCAGCCCTGCCCCCTAAGGACTTCGCCCATAAGTAAGCACCTCTGTTATGATTTCACCTTCCACTCCATTTGGTTGGAGAGGAAGGATGCTCCATCCCAGATCCACGGAGCTTAAGCTCATTTTATGCTTCATTAAACTCCAGGGTATCGCAAATCGTATGAAGAATAGCCCTTTCCATATTGAATTCTAAGCTTTTCCAAATGAAATAACATATATGTAAATATTTGGGGAGGTTGAATGAGAACATGTGAGATGCCAATGCTATTTTCAGTGTTATTATTTACTGGGAATCGGCTAGCTTTGCTTTTTTTCTCTGGCTTTTAAAAGTCTTATTTTGATATAAGACCTAAAGAGAGGAATCCTTGACTGGAACTGAAGGAACCTAAGGGTCATCTTTTTCCCCATCGCTGAAGTTAAGTAAGTTATTCTATCTCTTTAAACCTTCTGGCAAATAAAATATGAGAAAAGCCCTCAGCATCCTGCCAGATGGAGAGGCCAGGGTGTCTTCGCTAAGGCAAGGGGGTCAGTGTTCTTCATCTTTCGTCTCAGGATTGTGTCTTTATACTTCCCTGTTTATTAGCAAGGATTGCTGTGGTGAATTAATATGTGCCACTCATTCTTTTTTTTGAGATGGAGTCTTGCTCTGTCACCCAGGCTGGAGTACAGTGGTGCGATCTTGGCTCACTGCAACCTCCTCCTCCTGGATCCAAGTGATCCACCCACCTCAGCTTCCCAAGTAGCTAGGATTACAGGCATGTACCACCATGCCCAGCTAATTTTTGTATTTTTTTATAAAGATGGGGTTTCCCCATATTGGCCAGGCTAGCCTTAAAACTCTTGGCCTCAACTGATCCACCCACCTCAGCCTCCTCAGTACCTGGGACTACAGGCGTGCACCACCACGCCAAGCTAATTTTTTTTTTTTTTTTTTTTTTTTTTTGAGACAGGGTCTCCCTTTGTCACCAGGCTCCAGGCTGGGGTGCAGTGATGTGCTCTTGGCTCACTGCAACTTCTGCCTCCCAGGTTCAAGCAGTTCTCCTGCCTCAGCCTCCCTGGTCCCTCCTGGGACCACAGGTGTGCACCCTAATTTTTATATTTGTTAATAGAGATGGGGTTTCACCATGTTGGCCAGGATGGTTTCGATTTCTTGATCTTGTGATCTGCCCGCCTCAGCCTCCCAAAATGCTGGGATTACAGGTATGAGCCACCGTTCCCGGCCTAATTTTTCTATTTTTAGTAGAGACGGGGTTTCACTATGTTGGCCAGGCTGGTCTCGAACTCCTGACTTCAGGTGACCCACCCACGTCAGCCTCCCAGACTGCTGGGATTACAGGTGTGAGCCACCGTGCCTGGCCCCATTCCAAAGCCCAGCATTCTCATCATAGAATGATTTCTTTCTGTATGATGGCTGTGTGCTGCCCTCTTGCCCATCATGAACACATTGTTCAGCTTGCTTCCTACGTAAGTATCTTGGTGAGCACCACACTAACTCATATGGTATTGCTGTGTGAATTCAGAAAAAGGGCCCCTTCCTTAAGATACTTTACTGCCATCTGCTGGATTGTTGTAGAAATATACAAATCTACAATAATTGTGATGTGATGGGCCCTTTTGAACTGTGCTGTGGACAGCCTGCACACCCATGTATTGTAGCACTGCCTGAGTAACCTGCTCTCCTTGCCCCAAAGTGATTTTGAGGTGGGACGTTAAAAAATGTCATTATGTCTCAACTAGCCACTGTCTGTTTCTCTGCAGGAGGCAGAAGGCAATGCAGGTGGATGCCACTGTCTTTACTTGCATCAGCATGCTGGCTCGAGCAATGGGGCCAGGCATCCAGCAGGATATCAAGGAGCTGCTGGAGCCCATGCTGGCAGTGGGACTAAGGTGGGTGTCAGAAACCTGAGCTTGCCCTGTATCGGAGTGAGGTTTGGTCTGCAGTGTTGGGACTGGGTTAAAAGAGGGAGGCATGGTTGTTTGCACATTCAGTTGGATGGGCAGGATAGCTTAGACAAAGCACATAGGCTAGTACTGCATCCTAGTTTCATCACTAGCTAGCTATGTGATCTTGACTAAGTTATTTAATATCCCCAAGCCTCATTTTTTTTTTATCTGAAAAGTGGGTACAGTAGTAATTCCTGTTGTCTAAGGTTGCTGTGGATTCATGATACAGTCATTCTTAGGACCATGCCTGGCATATAGGAAGTGTTCGATAAATATTTACAAATACCATTATTGGGCAAGTTGCTTAAGCTCCCTAAACTATAGTTCTTTTCATATGTACAATAAGGACAGTGTTCTTGATCTGCTTGCCAGAGTGTTCGTTGAGTCTTGGTCTTCTGTAGTGGCTGAATTATAGTGAGCAAGTCTTCCTGTGGCAAGAACCAGAAACTCATAGATTGTTTAGAGACCTGAGACTAAGCAAAGAGAGTTTACACATTTATTCTTATTTCATAGCATCCTTTCTACTCTAAAGAACAGAGGCCTGATCCCCTTGCTGGGAGAGAAATGCTGTTTTTTCCCAAGAACAGACTGAGTGTCATGTGCTCAGCCCTTATGTGACTGTTTCCTTCCCTTTAGCCCTGCCCTCACTGCGGTACTCTATGACCTGAGCCGTCAGATTCCACAGCTAAAGAAGGACATTCAAGACGGGCTACTGAAAATGCTGTCCCTGGTCCTTATGCACAAACCGCTCCGCCACCCAGGCATGCCCAAAGGCCTGGCCCATCAGCTGGCCTCCCCTGGGCTCACGACTCTCCCTGAGGCCAGTGATGTGGGCAGCATCACTCTTGCCCTCCGAACGCTTGGCAGCTTTGAATTTGAAGGTAAGAAATTATAGTGCTCTTGTCAACATAGTGAGAGATGCTGGAAACTTTGGGAAAGGAATGAAGGTATCTAGGATTCCTGGATCTTGCCGGGGTCCTAGAGACAGGGTAACTGATTTTGTAGCAGCTCATCCTTCCTAGACTCTTTCCATGTATTGGCAATTCCTACTGTTTGTTTCTTTGTCCCATTCTGAGTTTTGGGCAGTTGGTTTGAGGGAAAGTACACTTTGATCCAAAGAAATAATGCTTCAGAGACAGATCCCCCTCACATCCTCACTTTACTTCCTTGTAGCTGAGATGATATGTAATGTTTTAGAATGTATAAATGGGCTTTTGGGTGTTTCCATGTCTATGGCAGTATGATTTCTTTTTTCTTTTCTTTTTTTTTGGGGGGAACAAAGTATCTTTCTGTCACCTAGGCTTGTATGCAGTGGCATGATCTCAGCTCACTGCAGCCTCCACCTCCTGGGTTTAAGTGATTCTCCTGCCTCAGCCTCCCAAGTACCTGGGACTACAGGCACGTATCACCACACCCGGCTAATTTTTGTATTTTTGGTAGAGGTGGGGTTTCACCATGTTGGCCAGGCTGGTCTCGAACTCCTGACCTCAAGTGATCTGCCTGCCTCGGCTCCCCAAAACGCCGGGATTACAGCTGTGAGCCACTGTGCCCAGCTAGTGATACGATTTCTAAAAGTACTTTATTGTGTAGTTCTAAACTGCAAATAAACCCACTAATACCCCACAGAGGTATATTTCAAGAGAAAAGTTGATACTTTTGAAATTTAAGATCATGTAGGTAGTATTGGTCAAGACTGTGGGGAAACACGCACAGAAAGCCTGAAGATGCTGTCTGGAAACAGCCACCTGTGGTTTCTCTATTGCAATTCCTCCGCTTACACTGATTCATACTTGTGATAATTTATTTCTAGTGAATAGAAAGTAGCTATGTTTAAACCCAGCCTACGTAGACTCTTTGTCTGGTATTTAGATCTGGGAACTAAAACAGGCAAGGTAAATTTGATCAAGAATTGCATTACTCTCTGAGAATGGTAGGGGTCGAGTTGGAATAAAACAGAATCATTTATTCTTTGAAGGGAATATAAAAAGGCTAGGGTTGAGAGGTATGTTTTATCTCTCCCTGCCCCCTCACAACCCCCTTTGCCTTTCTGCAGGTTGCAAGTCTACTTGTTACCCTTTAAGAGCTCTGGGTCAGTATCTTACTGATCAGTGTCTGGTTGAAAGTAGAGCTAGTAGCCTCAAAATGGAAAATTCACCTAGCAAGCAGACCTGCCTGTCCACAACAGCAGTGTTTATTCTGTTTTCTCTCTGCCTTTCTATCCAGGTCACTCTCTGACCCAATTCGTTCGCCACTGTGCAGATCATTTCCTGAACAGTGAGCACAAGGAGATCCGCATGGAGGCTGCCCGTACCTGTTCCCGCCTGCTCACACCCTCCATCCACCTCATCAGTGGCCATGCTCATGTGGTTAGCCAGACTGCAGTGCAAGTGGTGGCAGATGTGCTCAGCAAACTGCTCGTGGTTGGGATAACAGATCCTGGTAAGACTTCTGAAACAGAAGCCATCTAGGGGAGTTGAGAAGCTTAGGGCAGCTGGTAGTAGCCAGTTTCATCACATGGCCTCTCCAGAGATCTTAGATCTCAACAAGCTGATACTCAGCTATTTCTCTGCCAAGGTGTTTAGGCGTGGCTACTCCAGCCTGTTGGTGTAAGATAATGTCTTTAACTCTTTTGTCTTTACTCCTATGAGTAGAGAAAGGAATGATAGAGGTTACATGAGAGAAAGCATCTGGAATCTTCCCACTATGCTGATAGCAGTGGAGGTAGAGAAGGGCTGGAGTGATGGGGTCATGAAGAAATGTTCAAAGGCTCCATTGCTCTTGCAGACCCTGACATTCGCTATTGTGTCTTGGCGTCCCTGGATGAGCGCTTTGATGCACACCTGGCCCAGGCGGAGAACTTGCAGGCCTTGTTTGTGGCTCTGAATGACCAGGTGTTTGAGATCCGGGAGCTGGCCATCTGCACTGTGGGCCAACTCAGTAGCATGAACCCCGCCTTTGTCATGCCTTTCCTGCGCAAGATGCTCATCCAGGTAACCGGGATGATGGTCAGACCCACAGGCAGGGAGCACAGGACTCTCACTGTGAGAGCTGCTTGAGGAAGCAAGAGTTGAGGACAAGGATGGGGGAGAAAGATTGAGGTACCTGGGAAAAGTCACATTTGTCTGCAAGGGTTCACATGTTTCCCTGGCTTTATACTGGCAATTCCAGTGCTCATCACCTCGTGAGCCTTTTGTCAGTATGAGTCCCCTCATGCACCTCTTTATTCTTCCTGGCAAGTCAGTCACCAGTGATCCCATTTCTTGGCCCTCTTTGCTTGCTGGCTCGATCTGCTGCAGATAGTGTCAGACTTCCCAGTGCCTCCCTGTCCTTCCTCTCTCCTGCTTTCCTTGTTGCTGCCAGGTCAAGCATGGAGGCCATTGTTCTTCAGAAAAATAACCAGTGTGAGACCGTTTCCACTATGTATTCTAATAGTCATTGCCCCATTCTGTGATCCTGGCTTTCGTTCTTAAATAATGTGAGAATGCCAAGCTCAGCTGCTTGGTCTATAGCCTAAGATAGATTTAGGTTGGCCTTGCTACTAGATCCAGTGGGATTTTTAATTCCTCTTGAGACATGGCTCCTGAATTTTTGTCTTCACCTACCTGAGTAAGTTCTGTGGCCTCCAGGTGCGCAATACGTGGTCCAATCCTGCCTGGCGAAGTTATTTCCACCTTCCTCTTCTGGATCTCTGTGTGGCTCACGCACTCATTTCCAGTCCCCGTTGCTCTCTGTCTGCTTCCTGACCCTCCCTATGGTTTCTTTTGAAGTAAACACTTTTTATAACATATATGGAACTTAAACATAGAAAATCATTAATATATGTAACTCCAGAGAAATGTTTTTCACAATTTGTCAAAAAGTGGCCGTAAATTATATCATCAATCAAATTAGAAAGTTGCGCTTATTTTGGCACCTCTATTTTTAGCCTAAAGATTTATTTAACTGCTGGCCTGTGTTAGAATTGCCTATCATTTTAAGTCTTTAAAAAATTCCTCAGGTTTAGGAAGGAACAGAAATCATTGTTGAAGGCCAGGCGTGGTGGTTCACGCCTGTAATTCCAGCACTTTGGGAGGCCAAGGCAGCCAGATCACTTGACCAGCCTGGCCAACATGGTAAAACCTTATCTCTACTAAAAAGAAAAAAATTAGCCAGGCGTGATGGCAGGTGTCTGTAATCCCAGCTACTCAGGAGGCTGGTGCAGGCAGAATTGCTTGAATGCAGGAGGTGGGGGTTGCAGTAGACCAAGGTTGTGCCATTATACTCCAGCCTGGGCGACAGAGCAAGACTGTCTCAAAAAAACAGAAATCACTGTTGAGCCTGCTAGCTCAAATCATGCTAAATGAATTTGGCATAGAAATGTCTCCTGAAAGGCTGAGTGCAGTGTCTCATGTCTGTTATCCCAGCACATTGAGAGGCCAAGGCAGGTGGATCAAATGAGCCCAAGAGTGACAAGACCAGCCTGGGGAACATGACGAACTGCGTCTCTACGAAATATACAAATATACACCAGGCTGGGTGTAGTGGTGCGTACCTGTAGTCCTAGCTACTCGGAGGCTGAGGTGGGAGGATCACTTGAGCCTGGTAAGTTGTGGTTCTACAGTGAGCCATGATTGCGTCACTGCACTCCAGCCTGAGTGACAGAGTGAGACCCTATCTCAAAAAAAAAAGAAAGAAAAAAATAAGAAATACCACTTAATGTTTGAGCACGTGTATGTTCCAGGTACTTCTGGGCACTGGGAATATAGCAGTGAACAAGCCGGGCATGGCTCCAGTCTTCTTGAAGCTGACATGAAGCTATCAGGCCTTCTCATTTTTTTTTTCAATATCAAAGAGTGTAAAACTCCTTTGAATGAATTTACTATGTACTGAATTTAGCCCTTGAAACTTTACTCTTTTTCTTTTTAAACTTTGATATAGATTTTTCTAAATTGAGTTGTACATTTTCATGCCTTAGTAAAGGCTTTGGCGTTTTGTTTTGAGACAGGATCCCTCACTCTGTTGCCAAGGTTGGAGTGCAATGTGGCATCTTGTCTCACTGCAACCTCTGCCTCTTGGGCTCGAGCAGTCTGCCCATCTCAGCCTCCCAAAGTGCTGAGATTACAGGCATGAGCCGGCTTTGACCTTTTCTTGAGGTCTTAGTCATCAGGGTGGGCATTGGTTATTGTTATTAGGATGCAGTGAGGCTCTTGGGCTCTGGAAGTGAACCTGGGGTTCTTTGGGTTAGCCCCCCCACTGCTGCAGCTATTTGGGCTCTGCTCCGTGAGACACATTTCTTCGCAGTCACCCATGTCTTTTTGCTGCTGCAGGTCTGTTCTCAGTATCCCCTTTCTTTTCCCTGTGGTCTGCTATGACTGGGGAAACAGGCTGTCTAGGGAATCCAGCAAATCAGGCTATTAAATCAGTAAGCTGAGACAAAATGTAATGTTAAATTGTAGACTCCTCTGGGTAGCTGAGTTAACCTGAACTCTGTGACATCTGCTTTTTTCACTGCTCAGTGACTTCCTTCTGGCAGCTTTAGCTATCCAGAAATCTGGATAGTCCATATTATGCTGTCTCTGTCACCATGAACATAATGTGCTGATTTGCTGGTGTTGTAAGGATCCAGTCAGTAAGCCTTCTGGGGATCCTACTGATGTGATCCCTACCTATTGAAGTTTATCTAGATAATGCCCTAAACAGCTATAGAATATCAACACTTCTCTCAACGTCATAGCTGTTCTAACTTTTCTTTGTTTCCTTTGCTGTTATTTGTAGTCCTTAGTAATTTGCTGTCTGGACAAATATTTTTCTTCCAAGGGGCCCTCCCTTCATTCCTCATTTTTATGGGACCCTAAACTACTCACAGCTCTCCCTGTGGGTTTTCTTAGTCTTCTCTGGCTGTGCTGCACTGTTAAAAGCTCTGCTTTAGAGAGGACTGTGGGACCTTGGAGTGCTGTGATGAGAGGAAAGGGGGCAGGTTTTCAAATAGTTTTTCTTCCTGTCGCAGCTGTATCTGAGGCTGTTCTGTTAGCTGTAGAGATGTCTGTTGCTCATTGAGTATCTAGCAGCTACTTCATCTGTTCTGGAGGTCTGGGTTTTTCCTCTGGTTCCCTGCCAGGTTTTCTGTTTGACACCGTCTCTCTCTAGAATGTCTTCTGCCATAGAGAACATATGAGCCTTTCTTCCCTACAGATTTTGACAGAGCTGGAGCACAGTGGGATTGGAAGAATCAAAGAGCAGAGTGCCCGCATGCTGGGGCACCTAGTCTCCAATGCCCCTAGACTCATCCGCCCCTACATGGAGCCTATTCTGAAGGTAACATAAACCGAGAGGCTGGCACCTTCTTTCTGCATTGTCTTATATCAGTTCATGTGGGGAGATGGGAGTGTTTCAGTGCTCATTAGTACACTGAACAAGGTAGATGATTTCTTGGCTCCCGTGCTTGGAGACCAAAGGGCCATATCAAGCACTTTAGGTTAAAGAATACCAAGAATCTCATCAGTCACAGGAAAGTGCTTTCCTTGTAAGAGGTAAGAGTTAATGCTTCAGGCACATCATCACAGGTGTGTGGAAAGGAGAAGCAGGTGGAGAGTAGCATAAAATAGCTCTCCCAAAATGAGGAAAAAATGATCCTGAAAATCTGAAACAACCTTCAAATCTGAACACGTTAGTCACGTGAAGTCCTTTATAACATGTGAATCTGGATGAGCAATCACTGAGATACAATTTAGAGGAGACATGAGAAACACTTTTATGTCATGGTGCTTCCCAGCTCTATGGAGAAAAGTTTGAGAATTTACATTCCAGAGAAATCTTGGATTCACAAAGCCTAGAAGGAATTTATTTACGACTGAGATGGTCTCCTGGGTGAATTTTACTTATATAAAAGAAAGGTTTCTAGTGGAGTCTAACCTGCATTCATTTTCTCATAACTTCTTTCCCTAGGCATTAATTTTGAAACTGAAAGATCCAGACCCTGATCCAAACCCAGGTGTGATCAACAATGTCCTGGCCACAATAGGAGAATTGGCACAGGTAAAGGGACAGCTACTTTTTCTATAGGGTGAAAAGAAACTCACCTCTAAGGAAGTCAAAATACTTTTCTTTTCTTTTTTTTGAGACATTTCCACTCTATCCGGGCTGGAGTTCAGTGGTGCAATATCGGCTCACTGCAACCTCCGTCTCCCGGGTTCAAGCGATTCTTGTGCCTCAGCCTCTCAAGTAGCTGGAATTTCAGGTGTGTGCCACCACACTTGTCTAATTTTTGTATTTTTAGTAGAGACGGGGTTTGACGATGTTGGCCAGGCTGGTCTCAAACTCCTGACCTCAGGTGATCCACCCTCCTCAACCTCCCAAAGTGCTGGGATTACAGGTGTGAGCCACTGTGCCTAGCCTCAGAATACTTTTTTTTTTTTGAGATGAGGTCTCACTCTGTTGCCCAGGCTGGAGTGCAGTGGCACGATCTCGGCTCACTGCAACCTCTGCCTCCCAGGTTCAAGCAATTCTCCTGTCTCCGCTTCCTGAGTAGCTGGGATTACAGGTGTGTATCACTGCACCTGGCCCAAAATACTTCTTAATGCCATAGTTTCTAACCCCATCTACCACCTTCTTTTTCATTTTGCAGGTTAGTGGCCTGGAAATGAGAAAATGGGTTGATGAACTTTTTATTATCATCATGGACATGCTCCAGGATTCTTCTTTGTTGGCCAAAAGGCAGGTGAGTATTACTGCTTCCTGGTTGAGTGAGACAGACTCCATGAGGCTGGGAACCTTGTTTCTCCTTATTCTCCTCAGTGTCCTCAGTCAGTGCCTAGCACAGACCAGGACACATAGTAGGTGCTCAAAAATATTTGTTGAATGAGTTAAAAATAGAATGATTTGGAACCAGAATTACCTGTTATTTTGATCCAGAGTCAGTTTTAGTGAGTATCAAGGCTGACCAGTGCCATTTTGTCTATACAAAAGAAAATGCAGGTCAATTATCAGAGCCCCAGCTATCAGAGGGAAAAAGAAAACCCTGGCCACTGCCTTTGAGGGAACAGAGTTTCAGCTCATCCTTGCCCAGCCCTGGTTCTGCTTTCCCAGTTTGAGGCTATTAGACGACTAGACTAAAGAGCAGTTTTAATTTCTTTCTGTGCATGGTAGCTCATACCAGTAATCCTAGCACTTTGGGAGTCTGAGACAGGAAGATCATTTGAGCTCAGGAGTTTGAGATCAGCCTGGGCATAATGAGACTTTGTCTCTACTTAAAAAAAAAAATGGCTGGGCATGGTGGCACACACCTATAGTCCCAGCTACTCAAGAGGCTGCTCAGGAGGCTAAGATGGAAGAACCCAGGAGATTAACGTTACAGTGAACTGTTATCACACCACTGCATTCCAGTCTGAAAAACTGAGGAGACCCTGTCTCAACAACAAAAAATCTTAGTTTCCTTTTGAGCCTCCTGTTAATCATTTGGGATACAGAAGAATGATGTATTTTATTTTATTTTTTGAGATGGAATCTCACTCTGTCACCCAGGCTGGAGTGCATGGTGCGATCTCGGCTCACTGCAACCTCTGTCCCCCGGGTTCAAGCAATTCTCTGCCTCAGCCTCCCGAGTAGCTGGGATTTCAGGTGCCTGCTGCCACACCCGACTAATGTTTTGTATTTTTAGTAGAGACGAGGTTTCACCATCTTGGCTAGGCTGGTCTTGACTTCCTGACCTCGTGATCTACCCACCTCAGCCTCCCAAAGTGCTGGGATTATAGGTATGATCCACTACACCTGGCCAGAGTGATGTATTTTCTTTGAGAAAGATGGGAATTTTCTTTGTCTCTTGATCCAGTGATTGTTGTAGGCTTGTGTGCTTGATCAGCCTTGGTTTTATGCCCTTGCAGGATTTTTGCTCATGGTAGTATCTACTGGAAACCTCTTTTCTTCTTACAGCCTCTAACACTCCATTACAGTCATTATACAAAGAGTTCAACTATGCTTTCTTTTCTCTCATACTGGCTCAATGAACCATGTGCTCTTGTGCCTATCCAGGTGGCTCTGTGGACCCTGGGACAGTTGGTGGCCAGCACTGGCTATGTGGTAGAGCCCTACAGGAAGTACCCTACTTTGCTTGAGGTGCTACTGAATTTTCTGAAGACTGAGCAGAACCAGGGTACACGCAGAGAGGTAGGGGACATGGCAGACTTGGTCTTTAAAGACTTTGCTGGGAGGATGACAAGAGAGAGAAGGTTGTTGCATTAACATGCTCTGACTGTATCAGTCAGACTTCCTGTCCCTCTCCATTTTGTTCATGTAGCTGGTCATTTGTGTGTGAATTGGGGATTCTGTAACCTGAGAGGGGTATCTGTGATACTTATAATCATGTTGTGATAAATTTTTTCTTTTTCCCCTCTCTCCTTTCCCACCCAGGCCATCCGTGTGTTAGGGCTTTTAGGGGCTTTGGATCCCTATAAGCACAAAGTGAACATTGGCATGATAGACCAGTCCCGGGATGCCTCTGCTGTCAGCCTGTCAGAATCCAAGTCAAGTCAGGATTCCTGTAAGTTGGGGGTTGTAGGGCTGAGGGCCCCACAGGGTCGTGGGGTGTCCCTTATGCTATGCTGAGGCACAGGATCCAAGAAATAAAGAGGCAGGACACAGAAGTACAAGGAAAATGCAGCTGGGCTTCGGAGGCCATGCCACCTCTGAGCGGAGTCAGGCAAGGCCCCGAATGTCCAGAAGCTTATGTATTTATTGTTTATAGGTTAGGGGGCAGGGCAGTGAGTGAAGTCATCTTTAGGGATAGTCATAGAGTTGTGAGCAATAAAACAAGGGGTCCACCTCCATTAGGTCACCTAGGCTAGGAGGTGGACACTGCGCAGCAAGGGGTCCATTCCCATTAGGTCATCGAGGTAAGGGCCGTGTGCAGTAAGGGGTCCACCCCCATTAGGTCACTGAGGCATGGAGGTGGGCCGTGTGCAGTGAAGAGGGTACAGTGTACGATACCTGTCTCTGTGGACAAGCTACTAAGAAGATTTATAGGAGGATGCTTTAAGTCACGCTAATGACAGAGCTGTCAGGATTACCGCCACCTGCTGGCAGCTTCCAATGAGTTCTATGGGAAGATGCTTTTCCAGCAGCACAGTAACAAGAGCTGATAAAGTTCACAGTCACTAAGTTGCGAATATCCAGAGGGGTTTTGAGCCCTCGGATGCTCGAGGGATTGCTGGTCTGAGAGCAGCCTTCCACAAGAACTGGAGCAAGGTCCTACAACTCCTTTATCAGGAGGAGTGGCTCTTGACCCAAGCCTACCATACAGGGAGTATCTTTACGATACTGAACGCTGCTGCCTGGGCCATGGATTCTTGTCCTCGTATAGCTGTTTTCCCTTAAATCATGCTCAGCACTGTGTCTGCTCCAGACATTCCTCCTACTATAAGCTGCTTATTCCTTAATTCATGCTCTGTACTGTGTCTACTCTAGGCATTCCTCCGATTATGAACTCAGATGTCGTTATATATATATAGGGAAATAACTGAGTGGTGAGATATTCTTTAAGTACTCATTCTAAGAACTAATATATGATTATATATAGAGGATTGTATAAAGGGAAATAACTGAGTAGTAACACTATAAACTGAGATATTCTTCAGGCCTTAATTGTGCTAGGATTCTGCTTAGCTCTCCTTCCTCGGTGTCTGTACGGGGGGTTACCCACAGAGGGCAGCCATGAAAGACTTGCCAAGTTCTCACTCACAGAGCCTTTGCTGGTTGTGTTTAGAAAGTCTGGAGCTGGAATACTGGGAAGTTATAGGATATTGGCTAATTTAGCAACTTTTGAATGAAAAGTCAGTAGTTTCTTGAATGCCAGACAGGGATGTGCTTCCCATTGTGGCCCGAGTCCTCATGCCTGTCCAGATTCTTTGTCAAGGGTTGACAGGCCAAGTCTGTTTGCTTTTTGGTGCCAATGTAAGAGATACACGTTATGACCCCATCACCTCTATCTATGTCTCATTCTTTGTTAGTGCCTCTTTGATGGTTTTCATTCCCATTGTATGTATGGATGAAGAGGATAGAATTGATTCTCCCTGTTTTAATTGGTAGGGAAATCGGAGGCAAGGCTCAGAGCTTTAGCAAAACTAGCAGCAATCAGAAATTTGGGGCTTTTTTTTCTGTCAAATGGTCTGGCCCAAGAGCCACATTGCCTTTTTTTTTTTTTTTTTTTTTTTT